GAGGACTGCAGCCTGTTGCCTATTACAGTAGGCAAACCTCTCCTGAAGAACAAAAATTTCACGCGTACGAGTTGAAAACTCTCGCAGTAACTATGGCTTTTAACAAATTTCGTGTGTATCTTCTCAGTGTTCCGTTTAAACTTGTCACAGACTGTAACGCGATCCGTAGTACAAACGACGAAAAGGGATTTAGTTCCCCGAGTCGCGAGATAATGGATAGCCATGCAGGAGTTTGATTTCACAATTGAGTATCGCGCAGGGTCTAAAATGGCCCATGTAGACGCTTTAAGCAGAAACCCTGTCGATACTGAAATACCATTATTTCACGATGACGATCTGGGGCCTTACCATGAACTCTTATTACGATTCAGTTTAGAACCTAAAATGAATCGTAGTGAGACAGCGCTACATGAAGTGTACATCACCATCCCGCTTTTTTGTCGTTACGAACCTATACTGAACCGTAATTAGAGTTCATGGCAAGGCCCCTGAACGTTTTCGTATTGGCATAGATGGTAACTATGATGATAATTGGCTGACGATGAGCTAAAGATAATTGTTGAAATCCTTAAGGATTCGGATCCAATAATTTGATAGAAATTAAAAACTATTTCATAGTAAAGAATTAAGAAAATTATATAGAATAGTAAAAAGAAATGATATCGTCTCGAAAGCGGTGACGACGTCTGGCACTTCGGGTACGATAAAACGTACGACAGGATACGTAAAGTATATTGGGTTTAAAAATATGCGTAAATTTATTTAAAAACATTGCAAATCCTGCCTACATTGCGCACATAACAAAGTTACCGGCGGTCCAAAAGTGGGTATGTTGCACCCGATACCCAAGCCTAATAAACCGTTTGAAACACTACATGCGGACCACTGTGGACCGTTCCCTTTGAGTAAAAAACAAAATGCATATATTCTAGCGATTATTGATTCTTTTACCAAATTTACTTACATTGATGTAAGTGTAATTGATGTAAGTGAGCCGTCAAAAATTGCAAAACAAACACTACAATTTCGGTGTTTGAAGATTATTTCTCGTTATTCGGAATACCGCTCCGTATAATAACGGACAGAGGTACAAGTTTTACAAGTCATGCTTTTACGGCTTTTATTAAAGAAAAGGGAATTCTTCATGTGCTAAACGCCATCGCGACTCCGAGAGCAAACGGATAAATAGAGCGTTATAATCGCTCTATTTTAGAGTCTCTTGCCACCAGTAATCATGATAAGCCAGACAACGAATGGGATATGGCTATAATTAAAGTATAGCAGGAACTCAACAATACTATAAACAAGACCACTGGTAAAACACCAACGGAATTGCTCTTTGGAACGATACCGACGGGAAGTTCAGATGGACCTATGAATTCAAGTGTCTGAGGCCCACGGAAATCTCAATCGGGGTGAAATAAGGGAGAGAGCAATTGATAAGATGAGAAAGGAGCAATTTAAACAAAAAGCTCGTTTTGACAATGGGAGAAACGAAGGCACCAACTACAACATTGGTGATTTGGTGCGAGTGAAAAGGGAGCTAGGTAATCCGGTGCCAGGTCGAAGCAAAAAACTACTCCCTAAATGTAGCGGGCCTTATAGAATCGTAAAAAACCTAGGCAATGATACATTTGAAATTGAAGACACGCCCATCACGCGTCGTAACGGTAAACAAACTTATAAAGCCGTGGTTGCAGTAGACAAAATTCACCCTTGGTTGGTATTTTCAAACGACCCCATGGAGAGATTATGTAAGGGAAACTTATTGTGATTGATGATTGATGTTTGTTAATTCAGATAATTCGTGTTAATTTAATTCAGATCATTCATTTTGGAATTGTGAGCGATTGATTCAGTAAATTTGATAAGTCATTAATAAATTTGATTTTTATTAGATTTGTATTGTTTTTCTGATCTAGGAAAAATAATAAAAGATATACTAAAAGTGTCTATTGTATTATAATTATTAATACAAAGATCGAACACTCAGAAAAAATTCCTTCGTCCCGGTCGGATTCGAACCGACGTCTTCTTGCATACCGTGCCAGACGCTATACCAACTAAGCCACGGAACGAACCAACGGACCTCACGAATTTTTCTATGTGCTTGCGTCGTGTCTTTGTACTTGGTCTTTCAACGACTTTTTAGTCGTAGCGCCATCTATGAGAAATCTTTAACAGATTTATCACCCAGTTAGTACCATTACAACTACCAGTCCTAGCGGTGTCTATTGTGTTTTCACATAAAAATAATTGAATGTCCAATATCTTCTAAACTAAAGAGCGACTAATTCTAAAATTATGCGACTAGAATCGATTAATTCATGACTTTTCCTGGGTGCAATCACATCTAAGCTAGCTATGGTTCTAGATATTTAAAAAAGGTGCCGCCGGGTTTAAGCTTATTCCAGCGTGGACATTGAAACACATTAACAACTTCAATACGGCGCACAGTGGGCCCAAATTGATAATTCTTGGACACAGGAATTACTTGCGGAGTATCGAGTTAATTTTTAGTTTTTTTTTTGTTTGGAGAAATAAACATTTTATTTTTTATCTCGAAATGTAGAAAAATGTAATGTCTGTGGTTTATTTACAGCATAGGTCCAATCATTCTCTATCGAGAAAAAAAATCCATTTACAGGTACTAGCCGTTTTACGAGTGGTGGCAAATTTTTTAGATTTGTTATTTATTTTTAACACAATATACTAGTTTCACTTAACTTTCGTGTTATTGTTATAACACTCTTTAATTACACTAAGTCTTTTTTGGTGAAGCTCATGTATTTTGTTACAAAAGTACATAAAAAAAGTTGGTAATTTTCCCGCACCTTTACTTACAAAGACGCAAGTACATGCAGACGGATTATTTTTTGTACATAGAAAAAACTATACTGTAAGTAACCGACACACATAACATTTTCGTATATTTTGAGATAAAAAATAAAGTGTATATTTTATTCTCCGAAACTATCAACTTTTCAAAAAAATACACAAGAATAAAAGTTATTAGGAATGTTATTACCTATAACATAAAAAAATTACCTCGATACTCCACAAGTTATTCATATGTCCAAGAATTATCAATTTGGGCCCACTGTGCGGCGTAACGACTAAATCTAGGTCTTTACGACTAGAGCAGACTAAATCATGACTTTTTAGGGTAATCAGATCTAAGCCAGGTGTTGTGGTTCTCGAAATCGAGAAATGGCGCCGCTGGAATAAGTTTATTCCAGCGTAGACAGTAAAACACCCTTTTGAACATTACTAAACTTGCTTTTGAAAATAACTTTTGACCGGCGGACCGAGTAAGTCTAGTTTCTAGCGACTAGCCCCGACTACTAGAGACTTTTTAGATAAAAAATCGCTAAACGGCTAATCAATTTCAAACGCTCGACCATGGTCACGGTATAAGGCACGCGTCTAAAGACACTTAGAACTTCTTCATCTTGTTTATAATTTATAACATAGTGTTTTGTATTTGGCGAGAGTGAAGAAATAAAATTCAAATTAATCACATTTATTTATTTCACCAAAATCTGATATTGTAATACAATGATACAGCAGCATACATGCTAAAAATTTTTGCCGTTAAACGGTAAGAGGATACCCTAATAAATAATGTAATTAAAATAAAAACTCTGATACCTATTAAGTAGCCGGAACATTTTGCACCAACAAATCACAAAAGGATAATTATACACCTTCACTATTCTTACCTAACGGTTTCTGTAAACTATTTGTAATAATATTATTTAAACAGAAGGAACTTAACTTCACAAATAATAAGATGGAGTAAAAGTAATTGACCAAAAAAAGAATAATATATAAGAATAATATACAAAATAATTGAAGAAAAAAGAGTATTGACCTACCAAGAAATGGACATCGGGTCAAATACAAAAACCACTAAAAAAAATGTCCGAAATTAACCCATACAAACGTAGTGACATCTAACGAAATATAAAAAACTAAAACATTTAATTTAAGTTATAACGTCATTGCAGTACTGCCTAATTTTGCTTGCAACAATTTAAGGGCCCAAAAACCCCATATTCAGCTTCTACTGGAAACAACAAAATGCACCATATTTAGCTTCGACTGAAAAATACTTTAACATAAGAGCAATGGAGTAGCCTTTCTCGTAAATATTAATTAATTTTTATACATATTATTATGTCGAATTTTGTACAAATTCACTTAAAGATATAATAAACAGTTGGGCAGATACACACATACAAATATTACTACAAATGTGAAAATAAGCTTGTACTAAATTAATTGTACCGATATTACAACTAAACGTAAACTCATATATCCGTAATTCCGAAAACCGATTTATAACAAAACCGTTACGCTTTAAAGTAATTTTGATGCAATAAAACAAAAGCTAATTTTGGCTTTGTAAGAACACAAAGCCAAAATTAGCTAGTGTTTTGTAATATTCCTAAAAAAATACATTTGACATTATGAAAATTTGAGCTAACGTTATTTCGGGCAAATGTATTTTCTGACTTCTGATAGGTAATCCCAAGCAGTAAAACGAGTACAACAATATTTTGTTAGTTATTGCTAACGTTTAATAAAAAGTCATTTTAAAAATAAGATTAAAATCAACACAAGTCTATAGTTTCTTTGTTCCAAATATTTCAATCGCTTATAGTTCGAACAATTGAAAACGACCAAGAAGTTTATTTAGGCTTCTTGAAATTGACGTAATGGGTTCTGTTTCCATCCTTTGCGCATGCAATGTGTAGAAAAAGGATAGCTAGCTATTTGATTATTTTGTTTGCTTTTGTAATTTACGATTAATTTATATATAAATTAAGCACTTTAAAACTGTACCAAACAACACTTTTAAATGAAAACTATGATAACACAATATATTTGTTTAGTGAAAATATGATACAAAATCCTGTTTTTACACTTTACTGCCGTAATTTTTACAAGTTGTTATTGTATAGTACTGCATGATTGACAACCGCGCTGTCAGTCGAATAAACGAAGACTGTTGCGTGACTGACGCTCTGTATGCAATTTTAACGCCCTATAGGTACGGACACTTTTAAGCGCGAACCCGACGTCCATTTGTTAGTAGGTCAATGAGTAAAAGGCATAAACCAGTCACCGCAACAAGCAGATCTACCTACATATTACATAATGATACAGTCATACAATTAATTATCCCAATTTGAATGTAATCATTTATTAGAACAACAACAATATTGTGGAAAAAAGTTACTAAAATGATGATGAACATCCAAAAAGTTGTATCTTCAGCGAAAAATTATGAAAACATAATATTTGAGGGTGGTTAATCAACACAGTATTTGTTATTTTTACAAATAAATGAATTTGTTCTATTGCTAATATGCGAAATATTGTACGCAGATAAACCATTAGGCAGCGCGGTGCATGCCAGTGGCAAAAAGGACTTTTGGCTTCGACTTCTTTTTCTTACCAGCCGACCCTGGCGCAGCGTGTAATGCGGCCTCAATGGCGTCGCTGAGGTTCAAACCTCTTGGAGCTAATCCTTCATCCTCTTCAGGCGGAGGGGGTGGCGGAGGAGCCACTTTACGAATGCGCCATGTGCCACTAGTGCTTGCCATCTAAAAATAGGTAACATAATTTTTAATACAGTTGCTCAAAACGCGGTATTTTTCGTACTACAAATCGTGCCGAAAGATAGAATTGTCGCACTAGTGCTTTTTACTTTTCCATTCTTTTTTAATTTACTGTTGTTTCAAGTCTTAAACATAGAACTAAAAAGATTGTATATTTATTGTGACGTAAGTCATTCATCATTAAAACTTATATTTACTTACAAACATCTTATTTGTTTAAATTGCACAGGTGTTTTATAAAACAACGGGTTACATTTAAAAATACCAAAATATTTTCCATAAAGATGGCTGATTGAGTATTAACAAGGACGCCGCGCCACTAAAATAGTAATTTTAATGTGGCTGAATACTGGCAACAGTTGCCATTGTACTCTGAATTTTTATCAGACAAAGAAAGTTCTTTTTTTTAATACTGTTTTATTTTACTTTCAATGTAGTTTATTCGCAAATGTATTAAAAAACGTCGTTTGATACACGTGCGGATTTGTCATTTTCACTTGTCTCGAGTCTTGACCCTGGTCTCTAGCTCGGGCCAAGAAGCCTCGAGACTCGTGAATAATGACTAACTTTCCGCAATTCTAACAAAAATAACTATTTTTAAAATATCAAGTGACGGAATGAATAAGTGCTTGTTTCACAATGTATATCAGAATATTTCTACATAAAACTGAAAATGATACACTGTTTACCTTTGCAAAAGAAAGCCCAGGTGGTGAAGTGGCACTAGTAGAAGGACTCAACTCTTCAAACGGCATACTTGAATGAGTCGACGAGGGGGGGCTGAATGATGGCGGTGCGGGTGGGAATAACACATCTGAAGAGAAATCGGGTTTCGGAGGTCCTTCCATAGCGCGGCGATAAGCGCGCTCTCGTCGCCGCTCTTCTCTTTCGTGACGTGCGCGAGTACGAGCACGACGGTCGAGCTCATCTACCATTACAAATAACACAATTTAAATTGATAGTATTACCACAGTTTTACAAACCATTCGGTTGCGCAACGAATCTACTTGCGCAGAGCAAAGAAGCGGTGTTCGAGGGGGGTCGGGCGGCTTCGGCCGATGCGAGCGAACGCGCTGAGTTTGCGTACCGAGCGCTAAGGGTCGACGTACGTAAATGATTTAAAATATTTTTGAATACGTTAAGTGACTTCTATAAAAATCGTTTTAGGCGTATATAATGGTGCATAACGCTTTTGTGTACGTTTATAATTCGACAACGAAATACAACAAGGATTAAAAATTTTGTAGATTTTCCCGTGACGCGAGTCTTTCCTATAATTTTTGTAATACGTACCTACCTGTATAATATCTATTTATGAAAGTAAATTCTAATTCATGTGCCGTAGAAATCAAAAGCAGCAGAAATGACTATTTCAACTTCCAATGTAGGTTGTGAAAAACAAATACGTTATGCTGATACTATTTAGGTATTTCTTTTTTAAAAGGTTATAGGTGTTACAATAGCTTGTTTGTTAATTATTTAAGATATAAAAGTGCAGGCACGAATGCATGTGCGGCGTCATGATATTTTAAGAACTGGCAAATCGTATGGCCCCGAAACTGCTATGCTACCGAGTTTCTTTGAATGTGGAGTGTTAAAAATTTACGCACGCCCCGCGCGCGACGTGGGCCTCGTGAAATCTATATCGCGATGTTTGGTTATTTATGAAATAAGATTCACAATGTATATACAATGTGTATGTGAATGTTAATGTTGTTTTCGAGATTACCAGCTCATATTTTATATGTAATAAACATTGGATATTTTTCTTTCCAGTGCCAGCTATGGATAGATGCTGATCAAAGACCTGACTTGAAAGATAAAAACACTAAACAATTTAAATAACATGTATATAAAATGTATGTGACCTTGCATTTTGAAGGATGGATGTATATTAAAAAACATATTTAAAAAAAGCACTGCTATTCCCGTTTTATAACTGTTCATCCGAATATGAATATAATTTTATTTAATATTAAATTTAATAATAGAAAACTGAAAACATCAAAAAATAAAGTGTCACGTAAATGTTGGCCGTGCAACACTTGTAAATCTTTGTAACTAGATATTTAATAATTTTTTTTTACAATTTCATTATTGTGTACTGAAAATAATAAGAATTGTTAATGAATGATTACGTTACAATAATATGGACATAATCTGAATTAAAAAAATTTTATTTAAATTTGAATAATAATCACAATTTTTTTGCATTGTGTGAGAAACTGACAACCCTTGCACATCTGCGCATAACAGCGAGCGGTGGTATCGCAAAGACGTTGCGCTAATGTAGGGAAGATATTGTAATACTGTGGTATTACTGATAGTAAAATTGAAACAATATGGGGTATTTAAAATTTGGTTTTACCTGCAAAATTTTGCAATGCCCCCGGCGTGACATAGGGCGGCTGCAAGTCCAGCTCGACGACATCAAACGAACAATAGAGAGGCAAATGGGCAGTATGGGGCATGTGTTTTCGTGTCTATAAAAAAATTATAAAAATGTTACCATTTCAAATATCAAATTTAAAGTTATAAATTGCCTATAATGTTACCTGTTCGCCTAGTGACAGTGTTTCTCTGTGCAAAACACGGCCGCGTATGATAGGGGGTGCAGCGGCGAGAACACCCCACGAAGCGTTTAGAATACGAACATTCAGGCTGTTCAAGAACACTTGTTGACCATCTTCAGCTGTAAAACAGGATAATAGATGATTTTTGTGCCAATGCGAGCACAACACAATACACGTTTAGTGACAAACCTTGATAGAAATAGAAATATTTTGCTTGATTCTGTTTATCAATGTCACTACAAGCGTTGTCTATTTTTTGTTCCACAACTTCTGGCGGTGCATTCTCAATAAGAGGAAACTCCTCTGACTGATTGTCATTCAGTTCATCCAACACAAAGCTTGGTGCCTCTGGATTCAGATTAGTTTGGGCAAGACTAATAGCCAAGTCTTCCACCTGGTCGTGAATAGTTTCAATACATGAGGCGCCATCTTCGGTAACATCAAACCAATCAACTTTATTTTGATTGACCTCTTGTTTTTGATACACAATGGGCACCTCTGCATGGTCCAGTTCCATAATTTTAGGTTGTTCATACTGATTGTTAAGATTTTCTTCCTTTTCTCGGAGCATTGTCAATGCTTGCTCCATAAACACAATTTCTGTTGTGTCAATTTCTGCCAAGATTTGGTCTTGTATCTCTTTCCTCTCTCTTTCCAAGATATCAATCACCTGTGCATAATAATTCAAATTTAATTCATCAATTCATTCTCCAGAAGTGTGGATTAGTTTAATACTTTTTTAACAGATATTGTAACATTTACCACACATTTATCTCAAAATATTGTAGTTAGAAGCAACCTCAAATAGCTGAATGGATTCACTCCCACAGATTTTTATTGTCTAAGCTTTTGTTTCAGGATAATTTTAAACCTCGTAAATAGCAAATTTGGAACATGAACAAGAATCATATTATAGAAGCATAACATACCCCTTTAATTAATTAGTTTGACTTTGTTATGACAATAAGCAATTATAAAAAAACGGACCACAAAAGTTAGTGGAATTCAATCGTTATGTAAAGTTTTTTTTAAATTTGTTACCGGAAAATGCGCGAAACTGAGTTCACGACCATAGTCGAGTTTTCGAAATTTGAGTAACCAGATAAAAAGCTGCTATTTAGTCGTATTCTAGTCGCAAAAAACAAGATTTAGTCGATCCGCCGTTCAAAAGTTATAAGGGTGTTTTAATGTCCACTTCCAGCAGCACCATTTCTCAATCTCGAAAACCATAACACCTGGCTTAGGTATGATTACACTAAAAAAAGTCGTGATTTAGTCGGTTCTAGTCATAAAAAAACTAGATTTAGTCGTTACGCCATTTTGAAGTTATTAAGGTGCATTACTGTCCGTAAGTTTATTCCGGCGGCACCATTTTTGAATCTCCAAAACCACAGCTCCTAACTTAGATCTGATTGCACCCAAAAAAAGCCGTGAATTAATCGATTCTAGTCGCGAAATTTTAGAATTAGTCGCTCCTTACTTTAGAAGATATTGGATATTCAATTATTTTCATTGATAGTTACATTTTAGTTACTGTTGTTACGTAATATTAATAATAGTTAATATGCTAACTAATATAATTAAGTATTTATGTTTTATTGTAATTTAATGTTATTAAACAAAATATGTTGACTAACTTTTATACTATAAGCACTGATTTGGATACCTAAGACACAAGTAAGCAATTTTACTTAGTTTAGGTATCACCTAGATTAACTTGCACTACTAACCTTTAAAGTTATGTAAACATACAATAATATCATTATTTGCCATAGTCTGGCGCATATATGTAAATAAAAGGTTATTTAATGTAAGATTAAGTTAAAAATGTTTTTCTTTATTTACGTACAAAACATATAAAACGTGGACAGTAAAACACCTTAATAACTTCAAAACGGCGTAACGACTACATCTAGTTTTTAACAACTGGGACCGCCTTAATCACGACTTTTTTTAGTGTTGTGGTTCTAGATCTAGAGATTGAGAAATGGTGCCACTGGCTTATGCCAGTGTCCTCGCTGGACAGGAAAACACCTTTATAACTTTTGAACGACGGACCGACAAAATTTTGTTTTTTGCGACTAAAACCGACTAAATAGCGACTTTTTATCTGGCTAGTCAAATTTCAAAAACTCGACCATGGGCACACTGGAATAAGACACGCGAATTCATCTCCAAATTTACTACCCTTAGCAGTGGAATATTTTCTTCAAATTTAAATGGGTTCAATACTGATGAATACCCTCTTCCCAACAAAAAAGTCATTTAAAGTCGGTTAACAAATGCTGGAGTAATAGCGTAACATACACACAAAAAAACAGTCGGATTGGAGAGTCTCCTCCTTATTTGGGGTCGGTTAGAACAGCGAGTTTCATGTCTCATTAATTTTATATTTTCATATGGGTACGGTGACACCACTATCAAAATGTTTATTTGTATAAAATTGTCTCTCAAAGACACTCTGTAGCCCAGTTAGTAAATAGCCTTAACAGCGTGCTTTTGTCAACGACAATACTCTAACACTGATAAATTAACTTGGTACACACTCAATATTTTTGTTACAAGCCGATGATAAATTATAGTTTAAACTATCAAGTTAAAAGCAGACCCTACTAACTGTGCCACCTCCTTACTAGACTTTATAAATCGTCGGCTTATTGCAAGAAGTCATTAATTGCCATATACACTACATGGCAATGAAAGACTTCTTGCACTAAGCCGATGAAATAGTAATTAAAGTACTTGTTGTTTTGTAGCAGAGAAAAATTTGGCATAGGGTGCATTGTTAATGTTCTCGATGGGCAAGATGCCTTCTGCTTCGGTTTCCGCCAACATTCCACGTGGCGGTGCTATCTCTACCGTAGTGGAACCGCGGAGACGACGCACAAGTCGCATTGTGACCTATTAAAAAAAAACAACATTTATTTTCATACAGTTGGATTTTTTAATGAAAGTTCATTAAAAAATCCAACCTTCGAAAATGAGAAAGTATATTGACACTAGAAAAGAAAAAAAAATCATAACTCATTATAATTTTATTTGTTATATGGAAATGCTGAAGTTTTCCATATAGCAAATAAAATTAGTTGATTATCGAGTTCTTAGGTTTCCGCGATTGTTACACGTAGGAAATGAAACTATTTTTCCGGATTTAAATCGCGTATATTTGTTATATATCTGCCCAGGATGCTGCGAGAGGCCATTGAAATTAAAAAACATCCTAATTTCAACAGGGAAGATGGTTTCTCCGTACCACCAGTTTGGGATCCAGTATTCCCTCTAATGAAAAATCCCAAACAGACATAAGACTGCAGTACTAATTAATATGTTTTAGTTTATTCTAATTTCTATTAATAATTAATAATTAATGAAACTTAATAAAAATTCATTAAATAAAATAATTTGTAAAACTTAATATAGCGTAAATTGGAATGTTTTCTTTGTAAAATTAAAAATAAGGTATTTAATTAATAACTATTTTAACTATAGTGAAAAAATAGGGTGGTTTGCATTAATATTAGACGTAACTGGTTGAAGACTGTACCACCTCAGTCAACCGTGACCATGGGACCTGTACAGGGCCTGAAACGTCGGTTTGTTTGAAAAAACAAATATACGCGATTTAAATCCGGAAAAATAGTTTCATTTCCTATTAGTTACGATTTTTTTTCTTAAAAAAAAACTCTTTAAATGGCTCTCCTGTAATATTTAGCATACACTTGCTTGTTTTAGACATTTTACCTTTCCAGGGTCAAATGTGTTATTAGCTGTTCTTTTACTAGCATAATAGACATGGCTGCATGAAAAATCATTTTTTTAGACACAAACAAGTTTTACTAATTTTAAAATTGTTATAGTCATTTGAGACAACAAAATTGTTTTTATAAAGCCCACCTCTTCCACAGGTGATTCCCACTGAACCATCCTTGTGGGGCGCATGTCTTTCACAAGCAGCGGCGTGGTGCATACGGGGCAAGGCGGTGGTTGTTTCTCGTGCGCTGCGGTGTAATGGAGTATGCACGCCCAGCAGTAAACATGGCCGCAATGCCCGACGCGACCGGCTACTGGCGCGCCCAAACATATTGGACATTCAGAGCGACCTGTGCTTCTTACCACCTACAAACAAATTATGCTTTTGTTTACAAACAAAAAATTTTGTTTGCACTCTTAGTAATACAAATAGTACATTTCTTTTTTTTAAGAAAAAATACAAAGATTATCCGCCACTTATGATTGATTATTGACTTTGAAAATGTAGAACTATGAATATGATGTACATACAATTTCCTCAACTTGATCCCACTTCACCGGCACATCAGGATCTAACAAATTTGTGCGGTAATCTCCATCTTCCTTCACCACAAACTGACAACTGAAAAGAAATTATGAAAAGAATATTAGCAATTTTGCACTCTATAGGTATAGGAAAGTTTCTAAATATGCAGAATGAAAAGGCTTTAATTTAAACAGAATGATTTAGATTGAAATAGTACTTGAAAATAACCGACCTCAAAGTAGAATTACGTCTGCTTTTTTTTTTTTTTTTTTTTAAATAAATAACGCACACACTCAACATAGCCCCGCACTAGGGAAACCCTGTGTCGCGGGTGCCATGGACACACATATAGACAGCCACAAATTACACCCAAACTCACGAGAGAAATAAATGTAGGCCATACAAACATTTCTCCCGGCCCGGGAATCGAACCTGGGACCTCTGCGTGGCAGTCCGGCATGGTAACCGTTCGGCCACAGAGGCAGTTTGCTTGCTAAGTTTTATTGAAATATCCCCTAGTTCGCCACTATACAGGACTTGACACTGGAGATAATAGTAATCGGTTCTCACTACTCTCAAAGTATATTGAGAGAAAAACGCCTTGAATTGGAGAAATAGCAAAATCAACCATTAAAATAATTGCTCCTTAATTAAAGTTAGGCACTATTTATAAAAATGAATCTTCACGGGTGAACTGCCACCCTTAAAGGTGGATGATTTTCTTCAAAATTAAATGGAACCACTATGGAAGTACCCCCTTTCCAACAAAAAAGAATCATGAAAATGGGCTCACAAATACTGTAGTTATCGAGTAACATACATACAAAAAAAAGAAAAAAAACATAGTTGAATTGAGAACCTCCTCCTTTTTTGAAGTTGGTTAAAAATGGATATACGTGTGAGACAGTAATGAACACATTATACAACGACATAACTTATGTAGTCAGAGTATGTAGGTATTTTCAGAGAGAAACAAAACAATGCGGTATAAGAACTGAAAAATTGGATTAAATAGGGATGCACTTACTTAGCACGCAGATAAAGGTCGTGATCAAGACGATGTATTCCACGCTGTGGCAGCTGGCGACGTACCAAGGGTGATCCCCTTCTTTCCAGACCACGGTCCTGCTGACCCCGGGCAGGAAGCATAAAGTTCAGCAAATGGTTCAGGTTCTGTTTTTTGCTGCCAGGCACAAATACTGAGCCGATTTCCGGCTCTTCTTTATCATCTACCCTGTAATTTATTGTTAAAATACAGGATCATTTCGCACATTTAAGTTAATCATTTATAAGGATCTCATCTTTGTATTTGAAAAACCCCGTATGTACTGGATTTAATTCTAAACCTACAAAAAATGTTGTTCTGCTAATTGGCTTTGTCTTAAAAGGACCAACCAATTTATTTATTGACCTTAAAATATCCTAAGACCACTTCTCTACATGCTGTAACCAAACAAATACTTACACATTCATATGCGCATTTAGCATTTTATTTATACATTTCAAAACAGTGCCATTGATATACTTAATCATTTAAATCTAATCTTTGGTGAGTAATTCTACAAACCATAAATAATTATTTAAGCTTTGAAATAACAATCAAATTTAAAGAGTTACAGAAAATACCACATTGTTCATATATTACAGATATAACAGATAATATGCAGAAATATATATACAGAACCACATGCAAAATAGGCGCCTTGACGTAGAGTTGCAGACACCAGTCTGTTACACCACATATACATACAGAAACAAAGCTAAATGGTGTCTTTGGTCCTTAAAATTTTATATTCTATATGATATATAAAAGATTACCCGGTGTTCTGCGCTCCACCCACAGTGAAATCGGAGGGGCCACCTCGTGCACGCGGCCTGCGATCCACCTGACCCCGGCCTCTCTGAGTTGGAACGTTTTTCCGATACAAGTCATTCTTAGGCGCATTTCCAAGTCCTTCGCGTTTCTTATTGTTCCGTGGCCAAGGTTTATGAGTCAAATCTATGAGACAGTCCACTTTTGAAAAGCTACATAGATAAAGGCGTAATAGTGAAATGTTTATGTACATACTTTGCCAACTACAGAATAATTTAAATTAATAAATAACTACAGCAAATAGAATTTTGGCAGAAGACAGGGCTTGGGATATGATACAAAGGTCTTTTCCGAGGAAAAGATTAAGATGACATATCAACAAACAGGTTTGACACACTATGTAATAAAATTGTTCTTGATAGAAAGATGACCTTCGTGTACCCACTCACCAGTACTTTTTTTACAGTCGATGGCCGAAGCCCTCGACTGTTGTTGAGAAGGTCGATTTACAGATTTCTTGTCCATTCTGGATTCCTCCAACATTCACAAAACCAGCTGAGCGGGTTACTCCGCAAGGAGACGACGATTTTACGTACAGGGCCGACATTTTAGAAAGCCATGTTATAAAATACAAAAACAAAGAGAAATATATTTCTTTGGTATAGTAAATTTTACCTAGCGGTAAATAAAATGAACGTAACACACGGACACAAAAAAGGGAGTATTAATACTCCCTTTCGTCGGCAACGACGAAATTTTTAAGAATTAACACCAAGACCTAGCTCGCCACAATATGGCGACCAGCCGGCAGCCAGCCGATTAAATCGGATGCGCACTTCCGCTTGCAAAATATCGCAATAAAATATAAATAAATTTAATTACTATTTGTATTCATGCACTATAAATTGTAATTTTATTTATATTGAAATTATTTACGTCAGAAATTCTTTTTTTTGTTTTTACAGTATTTGACATGACTTGAAACATATTTCGTCATTTTTGAAAATAAATTTATACCGGAAAAATGGGAAAAATGTTTGACCCGACACGGGCGTGTCATGGGGCCATTTTTATTTTTTTACTTCAATAAGTCGTCATTGTGAAATTACGAAATAAACACTGAAAAATATTTCGATTAAAGTAGTTTTAAATTTAAGTTCAAAATCAGTAGGCATCACTGATCTACCATTCATCATTCTGTATTTTTTTAAAAGTTCCCATCTACTTCCGGCTGTGTATTCATGTTCGTTTTAACACCATTTCTTATCAAAGTCCTCAAATCTACAAAAATGATCAATTCATTTTTGTAATAAAATAATACGATAATTATAACTAAATCTACGATTACATTTCATTTTTACGTAAGTTACACAAAAAATGTATTTTAATCCTTATACACCAAAATCAGAAACAAAACGACTACAAAACGAGTAATACATTCCTATTTACGCGGGAAATTAAAAACTCTCGTTTTGTCAGACGCGGTACGAAAATAATTTTTAATAACATAGGTAAATACTTTTGAATTTACTAAATCTTACTACACTTGTAATTAATTAATTTCTTTTATCCTCTAATTCGTATTATAGACAACTCCATTTTCAATTTGATTCATAACCAATAATTATTTTCATTCTTGACAGGTTGACATTTTTTATTGAAATTTTATTGCGGATACGATGGAGCAGGATAATTTACCCATTGGAACTGCCCAAGAACCTGTAGAAGAAGCTCATCATCCACCGGTAAGAATACTTGCAATTAATAATGTTAATAATATGATTACTCATTGTCATCGCAATCCTACCCTCAAACACTTATTTTTTTGTTCGTTTCGTTCTACCACCAAAATGAAAATTACAGCTGAAGGACGCGATGTCGTCAATAGTGCAACGAAGAAAGCAAAACAAAAGTCCAACTTTTGCCGAAGCTTCCAAATCAAATGAAAGATCTAATACACACAACAGCAAGTAATGTTCTTTATATTCCAACCATCTTTGTTGGATGTATGTGAGTATAACTGCTTCTTATCGTATTTTGTTCCTTTGTTTACTTCTGTATAGCGTTTACAAAGATACTTTAAGCCAACCCGACGGGAAGCTAACACAGAAGCAGCGTCTTCAATGGCTACAAAAGCGACGCACGCCAGGATTGTGGGTGCAATGTGACGAATGCAACCGTTGGCGGTTCCTCCCTCGTGTGCTGGACAATCACGAACTGCCCGACAAATGGTACTGTCGTATGAATCCAGGTAATCTTTACATGCATTTCAATGAAAACTTTTTGTTTATGGAATAATTGCGATTTAATCGCACTTACAGAAAGTAGAAGATAATTAATTCTCGAAAATATTTTTCTTAGCGGCAGGAATAGGTAACGTGGCAGTACTTCCCAGGACGAACCTTTCACAAGAAGCTCTACTGTTGCTAAAGATTATTGGTTGTTCAAAAGCGGGTGAACTTCAGATGTCTTCAAAGACCTTGTCTACGCCGGAAAGCTATCTTGTCGTATCTCGAAAAATAGAACTTTACACCGGGGCCGAAAAACTATTTCAAAAAATTTCTCTTTTTATTTCTCTTTAATTTGAATTAGTAGAAAGTTAATTTTAAAGTATGATGTATATAATCTTACTTTCATAAGATCGCTTTCCGGCGTCGGTCTGTACTTTCTTCGAAATGCAAGTTACATAATGATGGAACTTTCTTATCCTGTTATAAAACGTATCTACTAAATTTTTTCAGATATTACGGTAGCAAACTGTTCCGTTCCTGAGTCCCCAATTCGGGTCCGCGATGAAGAAGATCTTATCCATGGCGAATACACCGCAGGATCGATGGTTTGGGCCCGCTTATCGGGCTGGCCTTGGTGGCCAGCCATGGTCGACGATGACCCCGATACGGAACAGTATTATTGGTTGGATGGCTTTTCTGACATTCCGGTAATATGATTAGTTAATGCAAGTAGGTAATGCTATTTTGAATTAAGAGCCGCTCACAATGTTAGCTTATAAATTAAGAGGACCACCATGTTTACTTACTTACGTTCGGCAACTCGCCGGGAACGTGTCTAGGGGTGGACGATATACATCGTGTATTAAATACATTCGATGTTTTTGTAACGATGTATCGAATAAACCGATGTATTGTATGATCTTTCACTGATTCGAGGCATCAATGTTTTCGACTCGATACAGCGAAAAAGCATTAGTGCTCAATGAAAGAAGGTTGACCGTGAATCAAAACGTTAAAAAAAATGAGGGGTGGCAAAACTGCCAATACTGACAACCTGACAAATTTGAAAATAAACAGTTGACATTGTTGCGGTACAAAACCGTAAAAGGCTAAATAAAATTTTGTTTTTATAATGCCTGCCTAAAAATCACTGGGATTTTTGAAATGTTTTAAGTATAATACTTGGATTTGTAACGAAAATTGCATGTAACAACTAATATTTTTTGCGTATTACAAACAAAGCGATGTTTTCGATAGAACGAAGACTTGATCATACAATTCACTGTATATTTAAAAATGAAAACGATGTATGCAAAACATCGATTTTTTTCGATGTATCGTAAAACATCGATCCCAAAGCGCGATGCACAACATCGAAATAAACATCGACGTTTTTTTCCAACGTGCATCCCTAAGCGTGCCCTCACACGGCGAGAAATTTTTACGTGACGAAGGCTTAATATACCTCAATGTTATAACGTTGTTGTGGAAATTTCATTTATAATTTATTGCAAAAATAAATCTGCGGAAAGCTTAGGAATACCGAGTCGGCAGCCACCGAAATGCCTCGGCAGCCTTCAGGATGCTTCGGCAGGCTTCCAATTTACCCAAAATCTTCGCTTTCTTAGAATATAGTTCCCTTCTTCTTCAACAAGACTACCATTATACCAGTTGTCTATTTAAAACTCCGTTTTTAAATAGGTACCTATACAATTGGTAATAATCCAATTTGTAATGTTACGACAGATCTGAAGTGAGGATAGACGCGATTACGATGTCGCGACGGTACCTATGCTTCGACCGTCAGTATGCGCTTGCATGTAGGAATGCCGAAGGAATCATTGCCACGCCGTCCTATCAATAGGCGCCACAGGCCTAACTGTACCTATTCATAACAAAAATCCTAATAGATATTTTTTCCAGACTCACTACAATGTGGTATTTTTCGACGCAGCCAACGTCACACGGGCATGGCTAAGTCCCGAACAAATGAAACCATACCGTATCAACAAAAATATATTCAAAGACGTTTTGAAAAACGATACATATAAGAAACGTATACAAATTGCTATCATTCAAGCAAATGACGCCGAAAAATTGCCTCTGCACAGCAGACTTGCAAAATACAGCTTCATCGCGAGATACCCAGGATCCATCAACAAACCGAAAAATATTACTAAACATGACGTGATAGTGTATCAAAACAAAGTTAAAAGGAAATACAATTTCGGAAATACACGTCTTGCCGAAAGCGCTGATGAGTCACATGAAGCATATGAAACTGAAGAAAATGGAAAATATTATGGTTTTCCGGTAAAACAAAACAACGTGATTATTCTGGGTACTCCAAGCAGACCAAAGAAAAGTCACATTGCCAAGAAATATAGATCGGCTGATAGCTGGAAAACAGCACAAGAATCAACCGCAAGCGAAATCAATTCTCTGTTATCACACGAAGAAGACAAAGGAAATCTTATTCAGTTTACCGTGAATGAAAACGCAAAGGAAACCGATTCCATGACTTTAGAAGTCGGCAGCACGGTTGCTTCCTTAGCGACAATGGAGACTCCTGACAATGGGAACTTAAAATGTATCAAATTGCTTTGACTTTCTTGCTCCTACACCGTTCGTTCGTTATTGATTAAAAGAGCCTTTTTGTTTCAGTCATATCTAACACGTACATTCCTGAAAACGTGGATGAAATAAAATCTATACTTTTACATACAATGCCGCAAGTTGTTCAAATTCGCATCGCCTCACCCAGTAGTGATGATTTTGAATTTTAGATTAATTTGTGAGTTGAATACTAATTTATTCCCTTTGAGGCAAATAATTCTGTAATTTATTACTATTAAGTGCAAAATAAAGAGCATAACTTGGCGTAAAGCAGGTTTAATTTCTGTTTTTTTAATCCTGGAAACAACCCTTTAAAGACAACGATACATTTTTGTCGTCTTCGTTCTAAAGATCAACTATTCATTCAATAAATAATTTCGCGCTGTGTGTGATAATCAGGAGCAAAGAAAATAAAAAGAGTTTGCGTATAAAAATGTTAGAGGACGGAAAAAATAAAGAAATAGTCTCAATAAATAGTCTAGACAAAAATAAACGGTATTATGTCATTTGTAGTTTAAAAATGTCACAGTTTTTAAAGCTTGACCATTGACTTTGACCTGTGATTTATTGTGTGTATATATCTTAGAGGATGGAAAAAAATAAAAGAAAGGAGCTGCCCTAAGTACAGAATCAACGTGCATATTACCAAAATTTGAAAGTTACAAATGGCAGATTTCTTTAGTGTTGTACCATAATCTATCAATAAGTCATTATCGACATGCAAATGTATGGCTGGAATTTTTGTTTCTTTAGTTTACTGTAACCAAAGTATGCCTAAACAAACACAAGTCTGATAATTTAATCTCGAGTGGTATATTATTATAAATGTCAACACACATTTTTAACTTCAAAAAAAATTTATTTTCAACATTACAACTGGTAACTTATTTAGTAAAAGTCACCAAACTGCTGTGCAGTTTGTTGGCGACATGCGCATTCTTGCTTAATTATACCTACTTTACTTGTATTTAACATTACATGGTATTAATTGTACTTACTAAATAAAATATAAAAATTACTTTAAGAGGTACGCCTTTAACCTACATTTTAGTACATATTTACATAACGTCTTTTAACTAACCGTCAAGTACAAGTCTATTCAGGTTTCTGCGGATTCTAGTATTCCCGTTAATTCCCGGGCTTTCTTAAGCAAATGAATCTATCAAGCAATTTTAACAAAGAAATAATGGAAGTAGTTGTAAAAATCAATTATCGGAAATCAACAATTATCACGTACTAGCTTTTCCCCACGATAAAATCCCCGCAATAAAGTTGCAAAAAAGAAATGACAAAAACGAACGTGGTGGATGCTGATTATTCCAGAAACAGAACAACATGACATTTTGTTGATATATAATATATGTATACTTCTTTATTTTGTGTTTTGATTTTTTTTGAATAGAGTTATAAAACCAGTATGCATTTCATATGCGGACGGACTAACGTGTGAACGCTATTGGTCGAGCGAATTTGGTTTGTGATAAGCCGAATGAACTTTATACACGTTGGCGCTCGCCTTCACTCGGTCAGCTAGGCGAGTGACACCGAACAAGGCAAGGCAAAGCAAATAGGCTGTCTATACGTTGGTATGTTGTCATTGTATTGCAGGCTTTAAAAAAATAGTCATTTTTAATAGTTAGAGTTGTCATTGGGAAAAATCAGAAACGAGTGGATAATTTTGTTTTCAGGAACTGAGAATAGCTAGTAAATGAGTCTTGTTTAATCTAAATTGAACATAAAACTATTTACCAATAAACCTAATGATGGAATAGCATTGTCATGTAATCTAGTTACATTTAAAGTTCTGTTAAAATTTGACTCTTCAAAATGAAGCGAACAAATGAAGATGGTCTTTGATACAACGTTTATATTCGGCAGTCCTATGATTTCCAACCATTCTTTCTTCCTTTTTTCATTTGTAGGAAAACTTGAAATAATAATAATAAAACAATAAAAACCTCATAGTGAATTGTTTTAATAACAGAATATCGATAATATGTATGCTTACAAGATCAACACTATCTCAAAATAATCGTTAACAACAATCATCAAAATATACAAACAAACAGGCAATCTAAAGTAACAAAAGCAAAATTTGGCAAGATTTATAAATAAACTACTTAAATAAGTCTAATTACACAAAATATTCGGGCTATTGTGTGATTTATAGACAAAAAAATAACACATGCCTGTGCAATGTAACATTCGATTGATTTGCAGTTTTTCTAAAGCCGCATCCTTTAATGCTGCAGCGTCGCATTTTTATTAATACCTAATTATTCTCACTGTCAATATTTTTGTCCAATTTAATTATAATACATGTGAATAATTCAATAATACATTTGGAAAAACATTTGTTTTGACATTTGATGTACTTCCCTTTGACAACGGTATCATGTACCTACCTCATGTACTTGAAATGGCCACGGTTGGCATTTAAAATGACGTTACGAATTTTCGATTCCCGTGTTTGACACAGACCAATGTAATGCTATCTCTTTTGGCTTAAGACGGCACGTAATAGTTAAACAAAGACAATAATATGTTTATGTTTTCGACGTCGAAATGCATCATATACATATAACGTCTGATTTATATATGTCAACGTAACATGTCCTTTAGTTTCCATAGTCTAAGGTATATATATATATATATACACACATGTGTATATATATATATATAGTCATAGTTATCAATTGACACTTTAGACCGGTGCGTGTTCCGGTTTCTTACATCTCGGCATAAAAGGGCATAGTGTTCAATTTAGTATTACTTCCTATATTGCACCTTATTTCGTGCGATAGGCGATGCGATACACGATACGCATATTATGTAGATATACAATGTACTCTTTGCGCATACGTAAACGGTCACTTCGCTATCGCGAAGTTAGGCACGAGTAGCATCGCGAAGTTAGATACGACAGGTGACGCGAAGTTACTTTTTTTTCTTATTTCCTGGCACTATGGCATCCAGCCTTTGGCCATATGCAATTTCGATTGAGTTGCCAATTTTTGATAATTCATCCAATACTTTCTTCCTTCTTGACACTCAGGATGTCATTGTCGTCGCAGTTGTAGTTGTTGTGGAACTTTAATGTGGGGTTTGGATATTAATAGGAATTTAAAAACGGGGAAAGGAAATCGCGGAATAAAAATAAAAACAAGCGGAATTTTGGTACGGTGAATAACAAGATAGGGTAGGTAGTATATTATAGGTAAATCTAAACAATGAAGGATGGAGATTATGAAATGGTAATAGTTGAAAATAATGTTAAGTGGATAAATAATAATCTAAATTTTAATAACATTATTCCTTATGAACTGAGCATTAACAACATTATTCATTATAAACAGTTATTCGTAGTGTTGCCACTGTAGCCAGTATTTAGCTATATAGATTTATTCAGATTTACGAAATTATTAGGTACAAAACAAAATATTTGATAGATAAATCTTTTAGCTCTTTTAGTAAGAAAAGTAAAAAATTGGAGAATAAAGAAAATAAAGCTTAACCTTCAATATCACAAGATGATAATGATTTGATTGATATTGATGATAATTATTTTTTCGATTTATAATTAGAAAGAGACTTGTTTTCAAGAAATTGTAATAGCTCACGTTGGTTGTCAACTTTTTGAATAAGTAGTGTTGCCACGTTGCCCAAGGAGGAAGTAGTTAAACTTTAAGTAAAAAAGTTGCTAGATTCCAAAAAATAATTCGAGGTAAAATTGCCTAAAGTGGCTGAACAAAATAATAATTATAGGATTGCGTTTTTAAATACATATTTTTCTTAATTTGTACAATTTGAGGCAATTTTACCTCGAATTATTTTTTGGAATCTAGCAACTTTTATACGTAGGTGTCGCCACAGACTACTTAGTGAACTACGTTCAGACTGCTCACTATAGTACTTTTTTTTCAGTAGTAAGAATTATTTTTAATCTGTGATACTAATGTCGACTGACATTTCATTTTTTTTAATAGGTAGACGATATTGTCTTGCAAAGGAGCAGAACATATACATCCAAACAAATTTAGGTGCCTAGGGATTCCAGTTCATTTATATAAAATAATACGATAAAATAAAATAAATAAAACAACTCAATATTTGTTAAGGCGTTTATTTTTTAACTTCTTTTTAAATTTTTCTAATGCTTTGTTTTGCATTGGAGGTAGAATGCGTTTTTGCTAACCTATGTCCGTGCCTTTTAAAATTTTATTTGTGGTACTGCACCAATTAATAATTGTAAATCGAACAGTGAAAGCAATAAAACTATGAAGTAGAATAGTTTTATGTTCGGCACAGTTTATGAAATCAAATGAATACTTGGACAAAATATTCGCTGTAATATTATATGCAATATTCGCTTTATTTGCGTTGCGTTCCAAGTATTCATTTGTTTCTCTGATTACTGTACCGAAACACGTTACTGCTCCTTCGGATGGGTATTTCAGTCGGTTTTTTAACGTTGTATACTCCCTGTGACTTACCCAGTCGTGAATACGCGTTTGATTACTTATTAAATTTTAAGGCATAAGTCACAATTTCTTTTTAATTTATTTAAAATTTTCCTTACCACCCATCCAGCAGTATAGACCCGAGAGTGAACATTGAGACGTTTCTCGACGGGCCTGGTCTACAATAGTTTCAACACTTTCAGTCCTATGAATGAATAAGATGATCAGGTTGAATATTTTCTTTTTGTTCTTCAAATAATGATTGTAAATTTAACACTTGGTCCGCCGGATCATCCTCACAATTAAAAGTTTCATTATGGAATTTAATAATCCTAGTTATTAGTAATGATTTAAAGGTGCAGTTAAAGCTGTGGCAGTTTGGGTCATTATTTCTATAATTATAGGCCCTAACTTGACCGAAAAAATTCTCTATTGGATCGGAGTTAAAATATCTAGGCCTCATTATTGTAATCCCTTTACTTTGAAAAACTGCCACAGCTTCATATAACTTTTTAAAGTTATGACAAAGTTTTTCAATGACGGCACGAACTTTTCATGTCCTTTCACATCGACATATTTGGTTTCTTCCAAGTTTTTTATTGATATCCTCCAAAAATCGTGATGAGGTGATTTTTCCGTTACGGCTGTTCTTAATATTTTTCCTTTTCTTTTTGACCGTATTGCAGCTCCATTGACGCTGTCAAACAATT